ACCCAGCTGAGCAATGTTCACACACAGTTCATCTCCTTCTTAAAAACCAACCACAATGATCAAACAGTTGTTTTTCCCGGAAGGTTTTTGAACAATCAATGTCCTTGAGCTTAAATTTTGAGGGCTCATTATTCCTAGTTGTAACACCTTGGAGGAAACCAGGAGCAAGCGCTTATGCCCCTAGAGGGCGCTAGAGCAATACTTGTAATTTTTTGCTAGTTATGGGGGAAGGGAGTGAGGGGGGAAATAGAAATTCAGAGCTCAAACAGAAAATAGTGAAGCACATTGAAAACATTCTTGAGAGGGTATATGATTTAGTGCCCTACTTCTGGGGTGGGGTGGGGGGTGGCTGCTTAATTCTTGTACTACATTTCTTATTAATTCTCATGTTTCTTCCTAGGAAGTTCTGATCGAAAAAGGAAAGGAACCGAGGGCCCTGTCCTTTTAATAGTTCTTAAGCAGGAATAGTAGAAGATGTAGCTTTTTATACCACTCCAAGACAAGCTGTATCTGCCAACATTTTTCTGCTTCTGTGCAATTCTTCTTTAATGTGCAATTGTTTAAAGGGTGAGATGCCCTGTCATTCTCTTTAGCCAGTCTTCCAATTTCTCTCTCTCATAATAACTTGGGGGTACAAATGAATCTGGACACTAAAGCAGAAGACGGGAAACATGCAGTGGTCCTGATGCTGTTGAACGGAGCGCCCATCACTCCTCAGCTTGGCTATACTGCCTGGGGATTTTGATAGGAGCTGCAGTTGAACAACTTTTGGAAGGCCTCAGATTGTGCACCCTGGCTCTAGGGCAGTGTTTCTCAATCATTTATTCTCCAGATATTTCTGACTTCAGGACCTCCCCCTCCTGATCACTGACCATGGCAGCTGACAGTTGCTGGTTTCTAGAGAAAACTTGCAGTCAACTCACCAGCCTTACAGATGCCACTGAATATTTTGCTCCTGCATCACGTCCTAAATACAGGAGTTGGGAGATGTGGGTGGCTCTTCCAAACCAAAGCAAAAAATATTTGTTGGGAAGCCCATAAAGACACTTTAGCCTGCCTAAGAACAAATGAATCTCATGGATTGCAATGAGGAAATGGACTCTTGATTTTATCCAGGTACACAAGACATCTCTAGTTCAAGTGGGAGTTTTTAAGATCCATATTTTTAAATCAGAAATTATTCTAGCCCGCGTGGTGTGGCTTTGCCTTAAAAAGCAATGCAAAAACAATTAAAAAGACAGAACGAAAAAGAAGGAAACTGAGGGAAGAGGAAGAGGAAAATAAAAACCACCCAGGTTGCTGTTATATCTCTTGTTTCCAGGAGCCAATATGGAATTCATTTCTGCAAGAAACTGTAAGGCAAAGAAATCAATTTCCAAAGCAGAATTAGCAACATAAAATGATGTCAATAATGTTCAGTTAATTGTATCAAGCTCTATCTTCACTTGTCTCTGCAGTACCATTTTGTCATTAGTGGGCCTCACTCATTTCCAGCCCTGGCAGCTGAATGTTTGGAAAGAGTGGGTGAATGGAGAAAAACAAAATAAAAATTAAGCCTGTTGTAGTAGTCCTGGGAAAGGACACTTAATGTGACAGCTGAGATTTTAGAGTGTTTGGCAATGACACTTTACAGATCGGAAACAGTATGATGCTCATAAAGGAATACAGGTAGTGGAAGTATGATTTTGGTTTTCAGCAAAGGTGTCCCTGAAGTACCAAACAAATGTTCAATTTTGTCAAGATTATTAGTTCTCATGTTTCCATCGCAAGTACAGAATTCCATTACGCCTTTCTAGACTTAAGTTCAAAGCTCTATCAGCTAGTAAGACTGACTGACAGATGCTAGATCAAAACTCATCCCTAGGGCATGGGAGCTTTGGGGCAAGAGCTTGGTATTAGTAGGTGGATCCTGGTCCAGTCTCTTGCTGTGATGGAATAACTAAAGCGTGCCTAAGTACACTCAAATGGAATATTTACTATTGCATGCATAGCACAGGTGCTTCACAGTACTTAGCATGGTTTATAAGTATAAATGGAAACATGGCCAAGTGTGACACCCTGAACTCTTCAGAAGGAGGGTGATGAAAGTGGCATCAACAGTAATAAACTGCCCATACCAGCATCTTCCACTGATCTACATTCTTGGTTTCATACTACTAAAAAGATCTGGCTGGTTTTATTTTGAAGCCCCTAGTTTTTTTTTTCCTTTTTGTTCCTTACTCAAGACATTGTCCTTTTATCTTTTGATGGAATCCATAAAATGGAACTTAGTTTTCAGTCTGCTCTCCACTTTCAAGTTACTCCAGCCATTCTGAATAGGGAGGGGGAGCGGAGGATATGGCCCGATTTGAGTGTACAGTACTTAGGCCTGGCACAGACTGGAAACTATTCTCCACATACCACCTTATAAGGTTCTTTATACGACTTACACCATTCTGAGTCAGCCTGTATTTCTTTTATATTGTGTTTATGGCTTTGACCAAAAAAAGGCTGAATGGCTGACTTAAATGACCCTCTCTCCCCACCTCCCTGCATGTACTTTAAATGACTTCTTATTTCATGAAACAAGCCTTTCCTAATGATGGTCATCTTCCCCTAAAATAATATTCTTCTCATAAATCAGTCTAAATGAAGCCATCTTGTGGACTTTGACCAGAAGATGGGATTAAGTTGGAGAGAAAGGTACTGTATAATAGTTCACAGATCGAAACAGTTCAGTCCATGCTGTTCATACCTTCAGATTCAGCCAAGAAATGTACCCAGTAACCAGAAACAAATGAGAAATGGCAGGAAATTGCAGCAGAAATTTGTGGGAGAGTGCAATTTTCTGTATCTGCCTATTAAACTAATGAGAAAGCAACATTCAAGTAAGTCCCAGGGAACCATAATATGACTGTCTATAATTGCAATTCCAATCCTGCTACAGCAGCTTAAAAATTCAGGTGTCACTATATCCATAGCTACCTGATTTCCTTGCTTGAAAACCTCTGATGAATGTAGGCAAGTGAGTTTTTTCCCTCCCCCCAAAAAATCCAAACTTGCCTGTGGGCTTACTTTTCTGCATTAATATTCTGTGCTAGTTAGTACAAAGTCTGGTGGAGCTCTCTTGTTCTACACCACAGTGCTATCATTCGTTCAGCAAAGGATTCCCATGAGCTTATCAAGTGAGAACCCATTAAAGGAGTTTCTAAGACATGGCCATAAAAGTTAATTGAATCAAAATCCTATTTCTGGTGCATGGATTCTAATGAGATAATAGATACTGCAGGGCAGGCTCACCACTCTGCCATTAACACTCCTTGCATTGTTAAAGGAATCTATAGGGAACAATTGTTTCCTACATAAGAGAAAGAGAAGTAGAATGAATTGAGAGTTTCATAGGAATCTCTCACTGAGCACAATGGTGTATCATAAAGGTGGCTTTTGGTCTAGCCAGTGTGTAATTAGCAAGGACCAGCACAACAGATGTGCATTTAGTAAGCATATATCAAGATGGCAGCTAGCTTCTAATCTGATATGAAGCGGACTGCACTAAGAGTCAAATAAATGGAAGTGCAATGATCTTGCAACTATTCTTTGGAAGAAGAGCAGTCTACTGATGACTAAATGACTTATTGTTGTCTACCCAGCTTAAGCAATAGAAAATGTCACAATCTTCACACCACTTTAACACAAGGATAGAAACCATGATGTGGTGTAGTCATGGCTCAAGGGGTCGAAGTCCTGAGACATTCTTTTTAGCAAGGACTGTGATATCATCGTCCACCCTCACTGAGCTAGGTTTCTGTCCTCTCAGTGTCTGGGAGAGAAATGAATTTCCCAAAACAATATATACTTGAATATGAGATGGATCAATTCAGTAAAAGAAGCCACAGCCTTAAGTTTGCAAGATCTGAGTAGATGACAGTTGCTCCACAACTCTGGAATAGTCTCCCACCCAAAATTTGCCTGACCCCCTTCACTTGGAACTTTCAAGAGACTACTAAGAACATGGTTGTTCAGACAGGCCTTCACAGACTTTAGAACATCTTAATACAGCAGTGCTTTTCAACTATTACACTTTCAACAAAATGGAACCGACACTGAAAGACTGTAGTGGGATCAACACTTCCTCTAACACTTTGATCATATGTGTAACTACCGCAGCAAGAATTTTATGTGCCAAATACTGGAAAAAAAGAGGAGACTCCAACAACCCAGGAGTTAATAGAAAAAAAAATTAAGCAGCAGAGATAGATGTTTTAACTGAACTATTAAAAGACAAAGAAATTGTTGAGGCTATAAAAAAAAGTGGGAACCTTTGTATATATAATTGGATGAAAGATGAGAATGTGAATGGGTTAAAATTATGAGAAAGAGAATATAAGCTATAATTTTAGATTTTAAAGACCAAAAAATGGTAAGATAAATGTGAAGTAAACTTAGTAAGAAAACATATTGACAAATGCAATACTGATATATACTGTTTTCTATCACATTTTGTATTTTTTATTTACTCCAATACACTGATCCAAATCCCCTTCACTATAATCTTCCTTTACCTAATGGAAAATGTATTAAAAACAACCCCCCACCAAAAAAAACCCACTTCCTGTAACATAAAACTCAGCTGGTGAGTGCCAGTAGTATACTAACCACAAGAGGAGGAGTGAAACACAAGAGGATTTCTGCATTTTCTGGGAAACCCAAGTCTTGACAAGTACAGAAAATCAGGAAATGTAAACATATGCATCAAAACAAACAATTAACATCTAAATGTGAACTGAGCATGCTCAAGAATTTTGAAATGTTGACTGCCTGTTCCTGTACAGAGGAGGGGTGGAATGGAGTGTTTTGGACAGGTGGGGTTGGCTAGATAACAACTTTTATTTTGAAATACCATTGAACATACAAGCTTTACTAGCCTTAGTACGCCATGGAGAAGGGGGCTTGTGAGGGAGTTTATTTGATTTTAACCTGAGAGAAAGGTTGGCAATTATTGGGTGTAGATGACTACTGCCTCAAGGTATAACTTGAAATAAGGGAATACAACCCACTGGATTTGTTTCTTGTGGTCTTTCATGTGCATTTCTGAGAAATATGGGTTCTTCAGTTTTTCATGTCTGAAAGCAGGAAACCACAAAAATTGATGACAGACAACTTCTCCATTATTACTGAAGTGAGGTTGGTTGCTGTAGCTCAGAAAGAGGGGAGAACTTTGTTCCTTGCTGTGAAAGAAAGCTTGTTCTAATTGCTAATGGGACACCAACAGGTTTCAACGGTCCTCTTTTTCCTGCTGCTTGGTGAGTTTCATGTGATATATTTATTATCCATAAGAATGCAGAAGTGTTTTGCTGTGTGAGACCAAACTCAGTCTGCTCCAGGCCAATTAGCTGCCTTCAAGTGCTCACAAGTCAGGGTGTGAATATGTCACCTTTTCCTAGACATTTATCTTCTGTCTGATACACACAATCGCACTTCCTCTCTCTATTGGACATCCTATTTAACAGGTATGGCTGACAGCCACTGATGTACCTGTTTTCCATAAGGTCTTTGCATTTATGGTTGGTGATGTCACCCAGTATTGACAGATCAAATCTTCATGTCTGTTGGCTGTCTGCACTGCATGTCCATTCTGAAACAATGTTTGTGCTGCCATTTTTCATGCTGAACATCAAGATCAAACATTGTTTTAATCTTTAAATTACTTGATTCTGTGTCAAAGGTTGCTTTCACATTTACATTCTTACATTTTATAGAGGATTGCTCACAAAATATGGCAATGTTTCCATCCTTTAAAAGATCCACTAAAATGGATTCCCAGTATGATGTAGTGGATAGAGTGCTGGACCAGGACTCTGGAGAACAGAGTTTGAGTCCCCACTTAGCCATGGAAACTCAGTGGAGGGAGGCAGAACTGGTAAAACCATTCCTTAAATATCTCACCTTAAAAGCCTTGTTCCAGCTTCTGCTATCTTCAGTTGCTCTGGTAAAAAATATATATCAACATATACATACACATACATTTAGTAATCCTTGCTACTAATTGCAGCTATACATGGAAACATCTTATTTTATAAGCTTATTTGGGTGGATTGTGGAATAGATAAATAATTAAAACTTGTATATGGGAAACTGTGAAAACTAAAGAAACCAGATAGCAAACCAGATAGCAAGTTAAAAACATGAATGAAGACAATTTTTTTAAAATGACACCAGCAAAATTAATGTGACAAAACAAGGTGTGGTGTTCCTCTATCTTGCTCCTCTTGTTTCTCCTACTCAAGAGACACTGTTTTTTCAGATACAACTTTCAGACTAAGCTCACAATATCTGTGAATACTGATGTGTGATTTTTGAACAGCAAAGGTTTGACAGTTTTGCATTTTGCACCAGAATGTTATTCATTCAAAACACACACTTTTGTGAATCTGACTTTTGGCTTCTGTTCTCCCAATTTATTATGGCTAGACTGGCTAACCCTACCACCATTTTATGGTTTGCACACAGATCTCTATGCAGGAGAAAGGATGGTGTCCATTCAGAAGGGACCGCTTTATCGAGCAAAGGGCTACCACATCACTATCTGGTGTAACGTCAGTGGCTACCAGGGACCAGTGCAGCAGAATTTTGAGTGGTCCATGTATAAGCAATCTGCCCCAATGACAGGGCTGCAGATTATCAGCACGCGAGACCTTTCATTTCCATATACAGTCTATGCCTCGCGTGTCAAAGTCAGAGACATTTACATTGAAAGGATCCGAGGGGATTCCATCCTGCTCCATCTCACTGATCTCAAGGATGAGGATACTGGCGAGTATGAATGTTACACACCCTCCACAGATGACAGTTACCTTGGGAGCTACAATGCAAAGACAAATCGTCTCTTTGGTATGATAAAGAAGTAATCTCTTTAAACAATTTTCTGATCTTTTAGTATGATTGTCTCCAAGCTGGCACCTTTCAGGTTTATTGCACTATAGTATCCATCACCTCAAACCAACATGGCGATGGCTACTAGGTCAACTAGATCTACTAAATTGGCTTCCTTTAGGGTGGCTCCCTCCAGTTGCATTGGATGCAACAGTCACTATTCCTACCCAGGGGCATCAAACCTGCTGAGTTGGAAAGATGACACATCTGAATGAGCCTGATTTGGTAGATAAAGCTTGCATGGCTTTGTGCACCAAACTAAATGCAACCCATCTGTTTCTTATTATGGCCTGCCAAAATCCTGCCTGATTTTTGAAGTTTGAGACAGGCAGCAAAAGTGGGAAACTGCTACACAGGGTGCTGTATGTGGCATCCCAAACAAGTAGTAACAAGACCTAACCCCACCAAACTTCCAAAATGAGACAAGGCTGGGTACCCTTAATGTGATATAGAGGGAGATAATTCTCCATCCATAAAGTCAAACACCGTTCAAAAGCTTCTTTTCATTTGCTGGCCCAGTAACTAGGAATGTGTTGGTCAGTATCCTATAGTTAGTCCCAGCTAGAATAGACTCATTGACTAAAAGGGATTCACTCAGGCTTACCATTCAGACTTAACATTCAGCAATTGATTCTGTGGGTCTTCCTTTAGTTGTGACTAGCAATAGGATGTTAGCCATAATGGCTTTATCTTTTCCTATTATTTTAGTAATACCAGACACACTTTCTGTCACTGCGAAGACACAAGCCCTCCACAGAGACCAAGGGGAATCATTAGAACTCATCTGTGAGGTGACAACAGCAACAGAGCAACATACACATGTCTCTGTTGCTTGGTACCGTCTTCAAGACAAAGGGGCAGGAAAAGCCCAGAAGATCCTTTCTCTGTCCAGAGATTTTGTCTTGCTTCCAGGATCTTCCTATGCTCAAAGGTTTTCATCAGGAGATGTCAGGCTAGACAAAACTGGAGACAAAGAATATAAACTGTCCATTGTCAACCTACAGCCTGCAGACCAAGGGGATATGTACTGTGAAGCAATGGAATGGATTCAAGATCCTGATGAAACTTGGAAAGACATTGCTTGGAAGCAGAGCAACAGAACGTCCTTGACCATCAGAAGCCTTGGTAAGATCTGAATATTCCACCAGTCATATATGCCATGAGGGGTCAGCAACCACTTGAAAGTCTGTGGGGGAAACCATTGCACATAATTGTGGATAATATGATTCTCTGGTTTATTTGACCTCTCCATACAGTTGTGAATAGCTCAGCAAATTTCGAATGTGAGTTGATTTTATTTTATTTTACAGCTGAAGACCGGCTGCTTGTACATGACTGTAGTGTTAAAATGCACTTTTCTATATTTTAAAATTAAATGTAAAATTGTACTTTTTAACATTTAAATTCAATCTGACCTCTTCATTCAACAGGCTATTGTCTTCTAGGACTAACAGAAGATATTGCTTTCAGCCTGTGATGCCGGATACTGTGGACAAAGTGCTTGATCGCTGTCGTGCCACCACCTCCTCCCTTGACCCTTGTCCGGCCTGGCTGATCAAAGCAGCCAGGCTGATAACAGAATGGGCCACAGCAATAATAAATGGGTCTTTCCTTGAGGGCAAGGTCCCTCCTGCCCTCAAGGAGACACTCATTAGGCCCACAAGAAAGAAACCGAGTTTGGCGGTGGACGAAATTGGCAATTACAGGCCCGTCACCAATGTTTCTTTCATTAGTAAAGTGGTGGAGAGGGTGGTGGCTGACCAGCTTCAGGCTCTTTTGGATGAAACAGGTGCCCTGGATCCGTTTCAGTTGGGCTTCAGGCCGCGCCACTGTACAGAAACGGCATTGGTCGCCCTGTATGATGACCTGTTGAGGGAGGCTGACAGGGGTAAAATATCTCTGTTGGTCCTCCTCGACATCTCGGTGGCCTTTGATACCGTCAACCATGGTATCCTCCTGGGGAGGCTCTCCAAGCTGGGAATTGGTGGCCTGGCACTTGCCTGGCTCCATTCCTTCTTGGGAGACTGACCCCAGAGAGTTCAGCTTGGGGAAAGTGTCTCAGCCCTGTGGAGTCTCAATTGTGGGGTTCCACAGGGGTCGATTATCTCCCCAATGCTGTTTAAAATCTATATGAGGCTGCTGGGTGGGGTCATTAGGGGTTGTGGAGCATCATGTCATCAGTATGCGGATGACACTCAGCTCTACATCTCCTTTTTACCAACTGCAGGTGATGCCGTTCTGTCCCTTCAGCGCTGCCTGGGGGCTGTACTGCAATGGATGCAGGAGAATGGGCTGAGGCTGAACCCAGACAAGATGGCGGTCCTGAGGGTGGGTACCCCCACTGTTGGTGGCTTGGGTGATTCCCTCTCATTTGGGGGGGTGACCCTTGCCACAAAGAGTGGGGTTCACAGCCTGGGGATCCATCTGGACCCGGTGCTCA